GAACCAGCTTCCATGTGAGGTGGTGCAGGCTCCCACCCTGGGGGTTTAAGAGGAGGTTGGATGACCACCTTACTGGGGTCGTTTGACCCCAGTGCTCTTCCTGCCATGGCAGAGGGTCGGACTAGATGATCTGCTCAGGTCCCTTCCAACCCTAGAAACTATGAAACTATGCCTGTGGCAACCTCCACCCTGGGATAAGGCTCCAGCGCTGTGCCAGGCAGCCTGGCCACAGCCCAATCTGGGCAGCATCTCCCAGCCGGCCCAGCCATGCAAGCAGAGGCACTAGCTCCAGTGCCACCGGCCTGGCCACACAGAGCTCCCCACTGCACTTAAAGGGCTCCCCTGCTCCCTTCCCACACTAGAGGGGCAGGTATCTGCCCCCCACCCTCCTACCCTGCAGCAGGCCTGGCACCCAGACAGTTTCCCCCAGTGCCAGCAGGCAGCACCCCACACCCACACCTCAACCCCTGGATAGTCCCCAAGCCCTGGCCCTTGATCCCCCGCCCCTGATAGACTTACCTGTGTCCACTGCTAGGGAAGCTCCTATGACCCTGTCTGGCTGCATGCCAGCCACATGTGTGTATGGGTGCAGACACACACGCGTGCCCGCTGCCTCCAATCACCCTCCCCCTGCTCCCACCAGCACAGGAGAGCAAAATCCCAGACATTGGTTCATATTTAAAAAAAAACTGCCCAGACGGAGATCTGAAGGTCCAAAAAGAGAACGTGTTCAGGAAAACCCACATGTATGGTAACCCTACCCCGGGCCACTTTTTCTGCCCAGCTTTCTACCCTATGCCTCAACCTCCTATAACTGGAAATCACTTCTGCTGAGCAAAGCTGCCATGTTTAGGTCCAGGACCAGGTGGCAGGGTGGGAGATGGCTCTGGTTACTGTCAGGACACAGGATCTGGGATGGGGGGTTGTTGGGATGCTTAGTCCCTTGCACCACTTACTATACAGGAGCTGAGCTTCAAGAAAGAAAACAGCACTTGATGCTATAATCTCCCAGGGTAGCTGGCCTACAAGGCGCCTGGTCCTTTGTTTGCGGGGGAGGCAGATGCACCACTGGCAAGCCCCAGGCCAAACAAACTTACTGGAAGGAGCTGTTTTGCATCCCCTCTTGCTAACATCCCTACTTAACCCTGGGCACAAACAGCATCTCTTCCCCAAGCAAGATGGCTACCCACACCAAGATGGGCCACCTCCCCAAGGGGCTCAGGCCCATTGCTCAGCTTCTTAAATCCCTCGACAGCTGCCTGCTTGCTTTGAGGTCACCAATTTCCCTCCCCTCCTCCCCAGAGCCACAGGGGATATGCTCTGGCCTCCTTGTCAGGCCACGTGTGGATACCAAAGCTAGGAACTCTCCTCTTACCAGCAGCTGTCTCACGTGGTGCCCTAGCAAGAGGGGACCTTTTTGGCCCCTACTGCATCCTTGTTCCCCCAGCACTACAGGAAAGGAGCCCTCAGCTGTACAGAAATAAGAGGACAAGTGACACTGGAGAAGCTGAACAGGATGTGGAAACTGAGGCCAGGGAGAGGTTGCTGCAAGAACAGCCACCCTGCCCCTGACCAACTGCGCTAAATGCCAGAAGCCCACTTTTCCCCTTGGCAGGCTGCTGCCAGCTCACCCATGTGGCCAGGGCTGCAGCCCATGGTTTGCTGCACGTAAGTGCAATGCAGCTGATTACGTACCGAGAGACACGGAGCATAGCTAACAGGAAGCACAGCTTTGCAATGACTTCCTAAGAGCAGGGATGAGAGGAGCCCATGATACAGGGAACACATTACAGAGTAGGCAGTCCTGATCCTCTTGGGTAAATGGGGCCTGGGGTGCTCAGGTTGCTCTGCCCCCTGAGACATTGCCAATCCACATCTCCCCCAGGGCAGTTCCAAGTGGGCTGGGGTAATCATAGGAGGTGCTTGATGCCAGACCCAAGACTCTGCCTGTCACCTAAGCAGCTTCTCCTTCCCACAGCAGTTGAAGATTGGAGAGTATTCACAGCAAATGCCTCAGGGCATAGCCATAGACTACACCTGAAGGAAGAGATGGGGCACCTAGCCACACGTACCATGAAAGAAAGGCTCAGTGTCTACATGTCTCAAGAAAATCTCAATATTTAATAGGGAGGAGATATTGAATGGGATTTCCAGGGGTCTCTCCTGAGTCTGGTACTATTTAACAATAACCATTAAGGATTTGGACAATAGGATTCAGCGCAGTTAGCAAGTTTGCGGATAATGCCAAGCTGGGTGGAATTGCAGACATTCTGGATGGTAGGGCTAGGATCCAGAATGATCCACACTCTAGAAATGGTCTGCAATCAAGCAGATGAAATCCAACAATATCAGGTGTGGAGTCCTGCACTTGTGACGGAATAATTGCATGTGCAATACAGACTGGAGAATGACTGAGTACACTGCAGCACTGCAGAGAAGGACCTGGGGATTATAGTGGACCAAATGTTGAATATGAGCTAACAGTGTGATCTTGTTGCAAAAAAAGCCAAGAGGATATTGGGCTGTATTAACACATGTCTCTTGCAAATCAAGGACAGTGATTCTGCTGCTGTATTCAGCACTAGGGATGCCAGTATTGTGCCCAGTTTTGGGCCCCACACTTCAAGAAAAATGTGACTAGATTGCAAATAGTTCAGCAGAGAACAGCAAAAAAAAGATGGGCCAGGGAAGCGTGACTTAAAAGGGAAGGCGAAAGACTAGGATTATCTGGGCTGAAGAAGAGAAGACTGAGAGGAGATTAGATAACAGTCTTCAAATACCTGAAGGGTGATTATAAAAAAGGTGGAGGTAGCCTTTTATTGTGGCTCTAAGGAAGAAGCCTAGGAGCAATGGCCTCAAGCTGAACCAAATGAAATTTGGGTTGGAAGTTGGATAGAGCTTTCTGACTACAAAAGGTGGTCAAGCACTGAAACAGGCTACGTGGAGAGACCATGAAATCTCCATCTCCAGACATTTTCAAGAGCAGGTTAGACAGATGCTTGGCTGAGATGGTTTAGCCTTAAGCAGGGGGCTGGAGTAGATGACCTCAAGTTTGACTTTCCTATGAACCTGCTTCAAGAGTCCATCCCAGAGCACACCACCTCCATGAGAACAATGCTTGCCAAAACCACTGTTCCCCTCCAAGATTCAGGGCTCAGCAGTGTAGGTGGGACTGATCTGTACCACAGGGAAGAACAGACAAGGAAGTCTGAGTCTTCTTGAAGTCACTTCCCTAGGCTACAGCTCTCAGAGCAAGAGACAGGGAAGCCCCTTCAGTGCAGTCATCCAGATGGGAGCTCAGAGCTTCAGTGGAAGAGTTAAACCAGAGGAACAACAAACAGAGGGCAGGGTAGATTTACACCTTAACCGAAGTGTGTGCGCATCTGTGTCCCAGACAGGCCTCATCAGCCATCTTTGGACACACAGAAGACAATAATCCCCTACTGCGAGGGATTGCTGAAGGTGCGCATGTGCGCGCGCACATACACACACACACACACGTGTGCTTTCATTGGATGAAGGTCACTTCATCACATGCTGTAAAAGGATATGCACAAACCAGCATAGAAGGAGAGAAAATTGGATAAGCGGGACAGTACCAGCTTGGGCACACAGCACTCCAGCCCCTGGAAGCTGGTCTTGTATTCCCTGCTCTCACCCAAAATCTAAGTAACTTGTCAGAAGCCAGGACCAGGACCAAAACTCAGGCACCACACACCCAAGGCCTCTGCTTAACCAGCAGGTCCCTGCCTCTCCCCTGGCTTCAGCTAGACCGCAGAATCCCACCGCCAGCTTCAAGGAACCAGCCCCCTCCTTACAAAGCCACAGCTCCCCATCTCCCCTTCCAGCACAGCAGTGCCCCATACCCAGTGCCTTTGTTTGACAGCAAAGGGAAATCAATTAGTCAGGTAAAGGGAACTTGCCAGGCTCAAGCGGGTTTGATGTTGACAGCAAGGAGGGGGAGAGGGGAGGGAGATGGCTGGGACTTTGTTCCCCATTCCCTTTGATCATGGCTCCCACCCCATGTCGCCAGCAGATGTGCTGTGCTGATTAGCATCTTGCCGGCAGCAGCATGAAACAGGCTTTGCTACAGCAAAGAAAGGACAAGGAGATGGTGAAGAGTGGAGAGCAAGAGAAAGGAGTTAAAATGAGGCTGAAATGCAGCAAACAGGCCCCATCCGCAGGCTCATCACCACCAGATCCTGGGAACAAAATCTAGAGCCGTGCGGATGGAGCTCAGACAGCACCTGGAGCAGGCACTGCTGTCATGGCCTGTTGCCACCTCTCCTCCTCTCTCCAAATTGTTCTCATGGCTGAAAGGAGCTGGTGCAGCCTCCCTTTAAGGACAGTGTTACCTCATGGAGAGGACTGAAGAGGAGGTCCAGAGTCCAAACCAGGAGCAGCTGCCTCAACGCAGGTCTTATTCCATGTCACAGAAGGATGCTCAGCGAGTACCCAGAGATGGTGGTCTGGCCACAGGGACTGGACCAGGAGAAAGCAGGGAACTCTGGGACTCAGTACAGGGGAGCCACAGGCTAGATGAGCCTTTCAGCACCTGTGTTTGTAATTAAATCAGCCCATTTATTAAAGAGAGCTAGATAGTCCAGGATAATTGAAGACAGTGCAGAGCTAGGGCTGACACTAGAAAAGTGGAGTCCGGTGCTCATTTGATGTGCCCCACGTTCCTGGTCTCTGCAGCCAAGGCTAGCATGACAGCCCTGCAAGTCCAGGGACAGGGCTCAGGGAAGATCCAGGGTAGATTGGCTTATGCAGATGCTGCACAGAGAAGCTTACCATGCAGGGAGGAGAGAACAGTGGCCCTGCAGCATTTTCTTACACTGGTTTAGACAGGAGGAATCACACAGAGAAGGAAGCTGGGATCCAATTGGGAGAGCTCAGCCCCACCAGGTGCTTAGGACCTAGCGAGCATCTGCCAGGCTCTTGGCCACCCATCACACCCTTCATGAGGAACTCCCACTGGTGAGCAAGTCCAGCTGCCAAAAGGGCCTCTGCCTGCAGCCGGGCCTCACCTACCCCAAACAGCCTTTGCACAGTTCTCCTGCTGGGCTGCTCCAACAGTATCGCCAACTGGAGAACTGAAAAATGTCTTAGCTGCAGCTTGGTGAGTCACAATCCCAGAGCCAGCATGCAGGTCAGAACAGATGCTAGGGCCCAAGAGGCTGCAGACTACTGTCCACAGCCTATGGGGCTGCTTTCCAAGGAGCCTGGAAAGAACTGTACATCCTAGAGAGGCCTGCAACCCCATCAGCTCATCGTCCCTCCAAGGGCTCATTATGGTGGTTCCACCAGACATCAGAGCAGCAAAGACATTGAATCATCTCTCACCCTTCCACGCTGTGGATCATCTTCTACCACAATGCTCGACTACCACGGTAGCTGTGGCATGTAAAGCAGGGCTGCCAATTAGGGGACACCAAAGTGAGAACCATGCTCTGATCACTGGTTGCAAGCAAGAGCCTCAACACAAAAAGATTATACTATTTTTTGCAGCTGATTGACCCTGGACAGACGGCTGCTGAATTTGAGCTCTCAGCATTCAGAGAGACACTTGCTGCAGGAACCACAAGGTAAGAACACATGCCCTCATTGCACGACCCTTTTTTGACTCTACAACAGCTTTTAAAAGGAGAGGAGGATGCAAGTGTGAAACCTAGAGGTGGCAGGTACAGTACTTCTCTTCCGGGCAAGATGACTTGGTCGAAAGCAGATGAGGTTTCAAGTGGACATTGCCCCCTTGGGACACTTCCCCCTTCCCAGCCCCTCCTGCAGGTAGTACTCCCATGCCAGGGTGTCATGCTCTCAAGCCACCCTTCCACCAGCAGCTGGCACCAACACCCCGTCTGCAGGCTCAGCAAGGGATGGGCCATCAGCTTGGAGCCTACCGAGCACATGGGCAGCTCTTCTGGTTAGTAGGTATCTTCGTGCACAAGCCATTTCCAATCCAGCAGCAGGGTTCCACATCCAAGTGCCTGGGTTTGTTGTGTGCTGCACTGGCAGGGAATAGCTGTCAGCAAGAGTGCTGAGGATGGGAGCATTGCCCTCTTGCCATCTGTTCTTGCAATGACAGCCTCACTTTGCAACAAGGCAGCTAGCACGATCTGGAGTCAGTCATTTCTTAACCCAGCCTATTATAGCTCCTTCCAGCTTCCATTCTATTGACCAGTGCGGTTCACTCCAGAACTAAGCATGTTTATCCCCCAGAGCTCATTAAAGCAAACTCCAAAATGGCAGTGGAGATGAGATGCCAGCGATGTTGCCTAATTAACAAATGTTTTAATCACCAGGATTTTTACCTCCTAACTTTTTAATAGGTAGAAAAGGAACTTCTGATGGCACTGGCATGCTAATGACCCACCATTTGGAAACACAGCAGGCCCATAACCAGCTACGGGACTGCAGTGTAGACCGCCCCACCCAGCCAAAGGGCTGCAGACATCCCTGCTCACCTCAAGACTCCCCTGGTCTACGAGGCAGCCTGAAGCCCTGTCTGCTCACACCAAGCAGAAGCAGAGAAGAAAGATGCCAGGCAGTCAAGACAACCCTTAAACTGCCAAATGCAGATCTGTGTTAAGTTCCCTGCTGCATGGTATCTTACTGCATGAATGTCATTATTGAAGGACCTTGGGCTGAGCTGTCCAGAGCATGAATGCCTCCTATTATCCAGCCCATTCTTCATTTCCAGACATACAGAGAAATCTGGAGGGTGCTGGAGAAGAACAGCAAGGTTGCCTTGCTACAGGTAACCCTAAGCCCCTTCCCATTTAAGGGAGGTGAATTGGGTCAACCTCAGCACCTGCCAGGCACACGTGAGCCACTGACTCTGCCACAAAGATGCAGAGTGACAGGCTGCAGAGAGCAGCCTCCACAGACTTTCTCCTCAGGCAGGGCTGTGGCCATGTAGTGGGGAGACGCGGAGTACCGCCTGGCTACATCTCCCTCAATATGGCCAGCAGGCACTTGGTTACCTACATCTCAGTTGTATTATTCCAGTACAGCCTCACTCACTGCAACTCAGGGCAGGGACAGCCATGTCAGATGGAAATATTCCCTCCTCTCCCTTCAAATTCCAGGCCAGGACATCCAAGCTCAATTCTTGATTCAAGCACAATTTTTTGGGTGACCTTGGGCAAATTACTGAACCTGCCCTGAAGCCTCAGGTTCCCCCTCTAAGAAGTGGGGCAATACTCTCATCGCTTTCCCCAACATATTCATACACAGCCCTCCCATGGGGAGTTGGGAGGGTAAAAAGCACTCATTGTACTGGTACTGTGGCAATGGAATAAAATAAGTACTCAGACAGTCAGTATCTGACTTAAGTTGGGCTCCTGAGTTATAAGCCAGGCCATTACCCCCACATCCCACCACACATTGGTGAGGCTGCTTGTCCCAAGACTGGATGAAGTGGGGATAGCCAAAAGCACAGTTAACCCCTAACCTCATAAGCCAGTGATTACAAAAACAGGGCTTGGCTGCTAAACCTGCAGGGAGAGAAACAGAAGAGACTTATTTCTGCCCTTCCTGTGCTGGTGCTGGCACGTAGGACAATGATACTGATGCTGTGAACCTCTCGCCCAAACCTAGCATTCAAAGCAAAGTCTAGACTCTAGCACAAACAGCTGTTCCTCCCCCTCACCCACATCTCTGCACCATCCTAACAGGGGCTTTAATCAGTTCTGCCCACCTAGCCCCCTGACCACTACTCCACCACCTAAATCAGCTTATTGGTTTCTTCCCCTCAAACGTGTGGAGCGGCGAGTCACCAAGTGAAGCAATGCTGAGACCGCAAGGTCAGAGTGTGGAAACCTTCTGCCCAACATCCCTCTCCAGTACTCAACCTGCCCCCCACCCTCCAGCCACATCATGTCTTACCCTAAATTAGCAGTTCCTCAGGGAAAGGACCTTGTTGTTCCATTTGTTGTCAAGTGTCCAGCAAAAGTTTTGGAAGTCATATGAAACAAGTCCCTGGACAAAGTGGGCAGCAGAAATCCAGCCACACTAAAGTACCAATGCCCCCTCAGGTACCCTGGCCCCATGAGGAAGACTGCTTCCATTCTCTGAGTTTGAGACTGAGATGCAGATGGTCACATCAGGTCATTCTGCCACAAACCCACTCGTAGGGGAAGCAGCAAAGCCCTCCCCAGCTGGAAGGCAAATCAGCCTCTTGAACCTTTGGCTGGAAAGGAAAATGCACTTATTTTAAACCCCCTGACTAAAATCCTATTTCCAAATAACCTCTGCTGACCCCAGATACAGACATGAATAGAAGCAGCAGCTCACAGTAGCGCGGGCATGGGAATGGGTTATTTTATTCTTTGCTTTGGTCTATACAAAAAAAACTTACAGAAATAATAAAATCCTCCATTCCTGAACCACATGCCAAGAAATGTCTGTCCCTTTCCAGTTGAAGCATTAAACCATCAGCTCTAGAGTCACTTTTAGAAAAATGCATGGTGGGGGGAGGGAGATGAAGGGAAAGGAGGGGGCACGCCACTCACCAGGAAGAAAGGAAGGAGGTTAAGATGTGCAATAGCTGATCAGTACAAGGACACAGTTCCTAACAGCTGGAGTCAGCTCCTCTATTGTAAGGACAGTTACATTGAATTTCTGCTCACCAATGTCTGATTGGAAAAAGATGAAGCAGTAGACACGCCCCAATGGATAGAACAAAGAATCCAGGGGTACAGAATATGGCACCATTTGTTTTCAGCAAACTCAGCAGATGAGCTATGGTTAATGTAAAGTTTGTAGAAAACAAAAGGCTTGGGTTCTTCTTCCAAAAATGTGAAGATTTCTTTTTAAAAACACTTAACACAGAAAACAAAAAAGCAGGAATTTGGGGAGGGGGAGGGAAGAAAAAGAAAAGCACAATCTTAAATGAATCAGATGGCAAGAGCCATTTGCACCATATTAAAAATAAAAAAACAAAACAAGAGAAATATATATTTATAGAAAAGACTATTATGCCAATGAGAGTTGGATAACAATGCAAGGTTTGGGTGTTTTAAAGCTTCAGAAACAGTATCTCGGATTGGCTGGATGCTGGCAGTAGGGTGTTTGAAGCAGTCCCAGGAGGGAAGGGCCTTTTCCACAGCCCCACAGCGGAAAAAAATCTAAAAAATAAAACCTCTTGTGGGAATGGAAAAGTTTGTCATCTCAGGCACTTCTGTCTCCCAAGTCCTTCTTGTGTATGCTCAGCTCTGGGACCACCCTCTTCTGTACAGAGAAAACACCTGCAGTGGAACAGGAGGGGAAGAGAGCACAGAGAGTCAGAGCAGGGAATTCAGAGGGAGCCTGGGGGGAGGGGGCAGGAAGCGGTCACAGGCAGTTGGCAACATATCTCCAGACTGGGAAACAGTTTTTTCAGGAAGCAGGAAAATCCCAGGCACTTGGTTCATTCATTGTCCTTCACCCATTCCTCTTCTCTAGTGATACTGGAAAGAAAAATCCTGTCCCATGCCCGGGTGCTGACTGAGAACAGCCCAGTGACCTGCTCCACACCTTGTTACTACATTCTAGCATATGCTATGGGAAGTAGTTTCCGGTGGATTTACCAGCCTGGCAGCAGCCTGGACACCAGCTCCCATGTCACTGCTTCCTCATTATGAATGAGGAGGAAATAAAAAACAGCTCCCCACAGCCTGGAAGAGTGGATACTTTCACAGGGCAGAAAGCATTCAGTTACAGGTGCCTGGCTCTTGCAGTTAGATGGAGCTGGGTCATCAGGGTACTGTGGTGGTCTCAAGAACTGTCTTTTGCTCTTGGGTGCAAATCATTGAGCTACAGAATCCCAGCACCCTGTTCTTCGAATAAACCTGAAGCTGTAACGGGGGCTCCAGACTCTACTAGGTGAATCCTTCATTGTCTGGGGATCCACTGAGTTCTAGCAGCCCCTGCCAGGCCACCTTTTGACCCGACCTCTTGCCTGGCAACGGCATGTGTTGGGGGGGGGGGACCCCAGGCCTGTGAACTGTCACCATGAACTTTAAAACACCATGTGCTTTAATGGCTGCATCACCAAAGGACAAAACCCCAGGTGGGCCAACAGGCAGATACTGCCCATAAGGAAAGAAAGTGCTGACCGGGGAAGTGTACACCATACAAGAGCTAACACCTCCCATGTCATGCACTACACAACACAGGAGATGGCCACTCTTCAGGCCTTCTTCTTCTGTCTCCATAAGGGAGCAGAGAGGCCTCTGGCTTTCCCTGTACTCTGCAAATCAGCTCTGCTACACACAATAGGCAGCGCCACCCTTGCTGCCCAGTAAGGCATGTGTGTGCACTCCCACTTCCCCAAGCTAAGCCACAGTGCCCCTACCTTGTTCAGTGCCTGAGAAGCCAGTTAGGCAAGCATGTGGTCAGCAAAGGGTGCTCGGACCCCATCACTGTAGGCATCCATGGGGTAATCTCCATCCATCTCCATGTGCATGTCAATGGGGTCCAGGGGAATGTCATTTGAATACATGGGGCGATACCCAGGCTCCAGATCTACATTGGGAAGGGGAAAAGCACCTATTAACTCATAGCCAGACACCCACCAGCAGGCCAGACAGCACCACCACTCCTCCCACAGCAAACAGTGCATACTTTGCAGCCTTCTAGTTCCCAGGGCCCATTTGAACTGCCAGACTGAATTAGATTGGGGGACATCTAGTTATCTGGCAATACCCAGCACTCAGTGTTACAAAACGTACCTAATAGCATCAGCCTGTCCTATGGGACCCTGTCTGAGGTTGACTCTACCCTGGAAGCAGGAGCAATATAAACCCTCATGAGTGATCATAAAAATCACTGGGTTGTAAGGGAACAAGGGCCATCTACTCCAACCCCCTACATGAAGGCAGGACACAGTACTCCTGATTCACCCTAGATGCATGCTTATCCAGCATCAGCATCTTGAAAGCCTCTAAGGAAGGAGATTCCATGAGCTCCCTGGACAGCTCATTAGTATCGCCCCACTGCTCTTACAGATCTAATCTCAATCTGCTTTGTTGCCATTTAAACCCACTGCCCTGCATCTTGCCCACTGTGGCAAGGGAGGACAGCTGCTCTCGCTCTTCTCTATGGAAACCTTTTTGGAGAATAGGGGATGTCTCCTCGCTTGAGCTGGGAGAACAGCAAAGGTTCCAAAGCAGCTTCATGTGTGGGCAGCAGTGCGAGTGCACTCTCCTGCAGTTCTGGAAAGAGCTCTGAGGGTTGAGCTAGCCATGCTCCAAATGTAAGCAGATGGTAAGAGCAGACGTGAACACGGCTGGGGCTCAGGAAGGGAAGAGTCGAGCCAGCCTACAGAAAGGCACTCAGTGAGTCACCTGGTGCCCGGGCTTATTTTTAGCACAGCGTGCTTCTTCTGCCTGTCCCCAAATGGCCCCAGATGCTAAAGGCTGGTGGACTAGACATGTACGCATGTGCACACACACACACAAGTTACTGAAGAACTTCAGTCCTAGCATCCCAGACCTGAAGGGATGTCATGCTGGGGGTCTGGGTGGCAGAGGGCTAATGTTCCCTCACCACGCCCCGCCCCCACCAGTAGAATGGCCCCAAATGACCCTCAAGTCAAATGCATCATTGGAAAACCAAAGAGACCAGGAGATACAGGGCCTGACTGCAATGATCTGGGCATTTGCATTGTACTTACCATCTGTGTAGGGCTCATTGATTTGGATCATGCTCTGGGCCTAGGGAGAAGGAAAACAACAGGGTCTGAGGGAGTATGCACACATATACAAAAGCTGCCCAGACAGTGCCTGAAATGCGCTTGAGCCAAGGATTGGCTATGCCTGCAGCCAAGGCCACAGGACAGTGTACTGGAGGGCAGCCAAGGCTCCCATCAGGCCACATCACTAATTTAGAGAACAGAGTTCTGCAGCCTCTTGGCCAGGCCAAAGCCAAGAGGTGGTTTATGGGGGAACCCCAGATCGAACAAAGGAAGGGGGGAGGGTGAGCCAATGCAAGATACCTGAAGTCACAGGAACCCCCAATTCTCCCCCCCACCCCATTAAGCTCCCTTCACCCACTGTTCCAAGTGTGAGGACCACACATCGCCCTGAGATCTCAAGGTTGAAGCAGGAGCATGTTGGATCCATTCTTAAGCTGAGCTTTTATGTCCCAGGCCTGATCTCCAATACAAGCATTAAAACCTCTTTTATTAGATGGTCTTGCATCTAGAAACAGAAAACAACCCCCACCCTTTCTCGTCTCCCCCCAGAATGCAGCACATGGTTATGAAAGCAGAGGCTAACAGAGTGTTGTTCCTGTTTTGTCCAAACCCAATTTCTCCCTCAGACACATTTTGGCAAGAAGCCTCTTTATTAGCTGTGGGGGTGAGGTGGGGATCTGTTCTCTCAAAGCCCTTGATGAGTAGAGGATCTGCAGAGGTATTCAAGAGGATGACAGAAACACAACTTACTGACTCAGCTCCCCCGCATAAGCCCCCTTCATGGTGGAGGCAGGAGCCTTCTGAAGGACCTTAGCCCCTCAACAGGGCAGAGCTCAGCTCCAGATAGGAGCCCTTGTGTCACCACTTGGGGCCATGAGCTGGCCCAGAGGGGGCCCTGGACTGCTCTGGAAGGAGGAGAGAGCTCCCAGGGACAGCGTGCCACCCCATCCCACCCACAGACTGCCCTGAGCCAGCGGCCAGTCCCTGGAGTTGCTGGGCACTTACTGCTTCCCAGGCAGCAGGGTCATGCTTGAAGAGTGAGTTGGTGAGTTCGACAGAGACACGCTTCCTGTAGTCAGGGTTCTTGTCCTCGGAGATGCGGAACAGCACAGCTGCCGCGTAGGTGGCTGGAGGTGGAGGAAGAAGAGAGAGAAGGGAGAACATTGAAAAGAGGAAGCCTCTGAATGCCAGAAAATGGTACAGGGAGACTCGCTCCCCTCTCTGCAGATGGCCAAATCATTTCCACTCCAACAAGCTGTGCTGCATTTAATTACCTTGCACATTACTGTGGGACTGTCACAACCAATCTGCCCAAACACTCCTGAAAGCCCTGAAGACAAAGCGGCCCTGGTGTGCCGGCACCACGTCTCCAAGACGTGGCTACAGGCTGCCATTCTTTTGTAAGTGCCCCTCTATGTCAGAACTGGAGCCCAGCTAAAAGCAGGGCTTCAGGGAAATGATGGGGTGATGAAGGGACCCTGCATACTGGGGACACTCCTAACCAGCCAGCTGGCTTGGGGTACCATCAAGGCAACCCTATTTCTCCAGGGAGGGTATAATACTACAGCACTTGCTGTGGCCTGGCAGGAGGACACAGCTGACCCTAAGGCAGGGACCTGACAGGCTGCAGGGTAGGAGGGGAAACAAGGAGAAGACAGAACCAAGCACAAGGCAACCTCAGGCAGCTTTGCTCCCACCCACCTGCAAGCCGGCAGACCCAACCAGCTAGGCTCACCTGTGCCTTCATTCCTGGAGTGCAGAAGCTCCATCAGAGGAGCTGAGGCTCCTTCGGCATCAATGGCATCAGCTGCTTCCTTATCCTGGGCCAGTTCGCACAGCACTCCAGCCGCAACACGCTGAATGTTCTCCACCGGGGAATAAAGGAGCTGTTGAGAGACATCAGGAGCAACGTGTAGCAACAGGAGCATCACACAAGAGCAACGGACTCTGAACTCCTGACCCCCCACACCACTTGCACCGGCAGCTGAGCAGATGCCCTTCTCTGACTTGCACTGTCCCATGCCCAGTAGTGCTGGAGCTGGCTGGCAAATCCTCTACATGCTAAGCAAATGCATGTGGACCCCACAAGACACGCATGCCATCAAGGAGCAGAGTGCTCTCCATGACTATGTCCTGGTCCTGCAGGAAGTTCCTCTTACTCCCACATCCCCATGCTGCCCTCCTGGTGGCCGGTTCCAGCCCCTGACCTGTACGAAGAGAGGAATCGTGTTGAGTCGGAAGATTTCCATGCGATTCATGGGGTCCCGGGCCAGGATGTGCAGGGCTCCTGTGCAGCCCTCCACTATCTCTTCCATCTTGACTCCATCCTGCAAAGGGGCAAGTAAGTGCTCAGTATCAAGAGATTCCACCCCTGCCCCACCGAGGACTCAGGGCAAATGGGGGGGGGGGGGGCTAATAACTCTCATCCCTGTAGCAGTGCTAATGAGATGAGTTTCTTCTTCCAGGGACTTCCCAGCAATGGGGATGGGCCATGCCACAGGGCTGACACTTGGAGAGTAGCTCTCACATGGAGTAGCTCTACAGGCCAGGCACAAACTTTACCCACAACCGCAGGGGAGGTCTCCTCATTGACTCATGGCAGGTATTTGTTTTTTGATGTTTCTCCCTTGCCAGACTGCACTGTTGGTTGTTTTAGAGCAGATATGGTAAGCTGAGTCACTATCAAGTCCTGCAAAGGCAGGACATGAAGGGAAGAGCAATCCCTCTAGGAACAAAGTACACCTAGGGCAGCCACAGCAGTAGGGACACCAAGTAGATGGATATCTAGCTGGCACCTAGGAGTCCAGGGCAGGCTGGCCAGCTTCACCCAGGAGGGGTCATTAAACAAGCTACAATGCAGGGCTAGCTGAGCTATGCCCCTAAGGAATGACACAAAGACCCTCCACCCAGCATTTAGCTTCCCCCCTCCCCTGGCAACCCCCATGCCTCTCCAATGCTGTACTCACTGTGTATGGCTGCTGCGTGCCAGCTGCCACATGGCGCTGGGCATCTTGGTGAGCCTTCACTAGCAGCTGGACCAGGCGAGGGATCACAGCAGCTTCCTGCAGCGGGGCATGGTTCGCTGGGCACAGGGCCAGGTTGCGGATCAGCCCTATAGTAGCCTGCCAGGGAGGAGAAGGAAGGGGCCATTGGATGGGAGGCAGGTGGATGCAGCAGCTGCATGCTATCTGGCCTCGTCTGCTCATGAGAGCAGTCTGGCACAAGCCAGGGGGGTCGGACGGTTCATTTAACCTTCTGTCCACTTTGCAGGGGCCCTGGTGTTAGTGCCAGCCTCACATGCACCTGGTAGGAGTTCAGAGCCAGTAGCCACCCCAACACACAGCTCATCAGGGGGAGCAACTACCTGCCAGAATCCAGCTACATCCTTCCTAGGCAGAATACATTGCTAGTCCAGTCTTTTGTCAGCCTGCTGAATTGCCATGCAGGGATCCACCCCCTCCCTAGCTGACAGGAATGGGCAGGACATATATTGATTCAATGAGAATCGAGGGCAGCAACCACTTCCTCCCATTACCTGCACAGCACAGGCAAGGAAACAGCAGAGAGCCAGGCTGCCTTGTGCTCCAGGGATTGCCTCCGAACACAACTGAGGCAGTGTGGCAACAACAGAAGCTCATGTGCATTAAGCCAGTGCCCACCCTCCCATGTCAAGGTTCAAGAGGCATCATATCAAGCCCCACTAGCATCCAATGGCTTTGCACCCAGCCCCAGCATCCCCAGAGCCTCTCCTGCCATGCTACCTTGACCAGTGGCCACTGGTTAGGCTGGTTGAGCAGCTTGACGATTGCTGGGATGCCATAGTTGAGGCGCACAGAGTTCTGGGCCATCTCGGCCTCAGGGTGCCGGCTGGTGAGGTGCCGGAGGGCGCAGACGGCTGGCTCGGTGATATCCTCCTTGTCACCTGCTCTCAGGATGGTGTGGATCAGGGCCTCCACCCCATTGGACTGTGTGACCAGTGTCTTGTTCTTACTGTTGTTGCAGGTCAGGTTGGAGAGGGTGCCAGTGGCACAGGTCAGCACGTTCACATCATCAGAGCTCAGCTGGTTAACCAGGATCTTGAGGACTCCATCGAGACCCTCCTACAGGACCAGAGGTGAAGGGACAGGAGGGTTGAGTAGTCAGGATCTGTTCCCTTCCCCCTCCCACACGCTGACTGACCCAAGCTGTCACGGACACAACTGCCCTCTCCCAAAGCTGCAATTTGCCTCTCAAAATAGCCTCTGCTCCCTCCCTGAGGCTCTGACAGCTTCCCAAGGTCACATCTGAGCAGCTTGTCCATTGGCACAACTGAGCTGCCCTGCCTCTGAGGATTAGAGCTCCTTTCCTGCCCGGAAAGCCACTTCCCGCCCACAGCAAGTCTTGTGCCAGCCAGCACCACCCCTACCCTTCCATCTGTGCCTGCCTCACAGTCCACTAGGACTCAGCTCCCCTGGGACCTGCCCTTGCAACTCCCACATGGATCAGCACCAGTGCTTTGGGTGGGCAAATCCTGTAACGAGCTCCACGGGCTATGTAGTTGCTATATAGAAACTGGCAAGATGTACTCCAAGTAGGCTTCAGGATCCACATTTGCCAGGGAGCTTTGGGCAGAGGGGTTGCCAGTCTAGCGTGCCACAAGCAAGTTGCTGATCTCACCTGAAGCCAAAGGAGGTGGTTTCAGGGAGGCAGCAGTGCTGGCATTACAGCATTTGCTAAGCCACACCAGTGTCATGTCAGAGACAGATAAGGACTCTTCCACAGTCAAGTGCTTCCTAATGCCAACGTACAGCTAGAGCACAGCAGGGGGAGGGACTATGGGGCCCCTCCTACAAGCATATGCCAACATCCACAGTCCAACACCCTGATCATTTACAGAAGGGTGCCACCTCCACCAGGCTAAGGGCATCACTGCAGAGGTGACTGTGATACAGCAGTAGGGCCAACCTCTTTGGCAGATTTGCCAAAACTTAGCCCTGTACCCTCCTCAAATGTCACTCTGATCTCCTTCCCCTGCCCAATCTGCTCCTCTGCTTTCTGCCCTACCTGATCTGCTGCATACCACACACAAAGACTGCCTGTGCCATGTGTAAAACACATGTTGCAGGCTGGCCACCCTCTACTACAGCACACACACACACACCCTCCTCCTAAAGTGGGAAAGGCCTGTTATGGCACAAGGGAACGCAACATCCAGACCCCAGATCCAAGTCCCTCTGCTATGAGCCAGGCAGAAAAATCCCTTATCCCATCCTTGCACACTTGTCAGAAACGGGCATTGCCTGGATGTGGCCCAGGATCCTCCTCCAAGCACAACTGCTTCAGTAAAGAGAATGTGGAGCAACGTGCAGCAACCAGTAGCTCATGAAAGCCTCACACTGCTCTGGCTAACACCATTCATTGCCAGCCCAGGCAGCTTACCCAGGAGCCATGGAAATCAGCAGTCAGTACATGCAGCCCTTGTTCAGGGAACAGCATGCCCAGAGCCCCAGAGAAAGATCAAAGCCTGGGCTGGTGAGAATGTCTCCCCTGATGGCTGGTCCAAGAAGAGGATGGAACCACCACCCTGCCCTCACACTGCACCGCTTCCCCTCAACCCCTGCCTAACTTGGGAGCAGGACATGGTAGCTAGTGTCTGTATCCAGCCACACTGCATGAAAATCTGCCCATCTCAGCCCTCAGAGTCAAAATGACAGCGTGCCATTCAGCTGCTGACCTTTCCCTGGGAACTAAGCTCCCTTTGGAGCCCAGGACATTGCCACTCAGGTCTACAGCAGCCCAGACTGCAGCAAGCCCAGGAACTCGCACAATCTGACAGTCTGCAGCTGGCCCCTTCCCCATGCCAGAGGCTAATTATTGTTCTCAGGTCCCAAGCAGGGTTTCTAATTGCACTGGGAGCCTTGCTCATTGCTGTGTTTTTCAGAACAAGAATCCCATGCCTCTGGGCTCATATAACCATGAATATTTCTTTGGAGTGCTATTTGGACAGCATGAGTGACAGACGCTCCAGACATGCGTAGCTCTACAAAGGAGTTTAGTATCTCCGCCAGGTTCCTCCTGCTGGAAACATGTGAACAATACAATCCCCAGCTGTTCTGAGTGGGCTGAAAAGGCAGCACGCTCTCTGGATGATCTCAGGGTCATTGCAAACCAAGGGGATCAAGGGATTTAAGATTAACCAGAAGGTGCATGGAGCTTGAGGGGGGGAAGGAATTGTAAGAGGAAGTGTCCCGGGCCCAGTCAGAGAACGGGAAGGAGTTAAATCTGGAAATCTGGAGATAAAGCAGCATTCCACTACTTTCTGCTCAGCAGAGCCAGCCTACCAAATGGTTTCATTCGTTCATCTCGCCGGGGACCAAGTTAGATGCTTTCCAACACGATCCCAAATAGTTTCCGTGCTGCATCAGATACTAATCCATGTGGAGATGCGGCTGAGCACCACATGGGAAACAGATCAGGGAGCACTGGGAAGGGTGGGGGAGGAAGAGTGTGGTGGCAGGTCCTGAAGCAGAACTCCCAGTGCCAGTGCCCGCAGCTGGGGGAACACTCAGGGGCATCCTGCAGGGAGTTGTGGACACTGGCGTTTCCATCCCTGGTCCTGGCTAAAGATCCTCCCAATGCAGACTCCCACTCTGCTTCCATGGAAACCACTGCATCAGCATCATGAACAATAATCCCCTTGCTGGGGGGCGGGGGAGCGGGGGGGCGGTCAGAACAGTCTGGCACAAGCTCCTGTGAGTCACCAGCACCAGCTCTGGAACAAGAGGCCCTTCCCTAGGGTGCTGACAGGGCTGCTTCTGCTGCTGCCACAGCTCTGAACCCAGCAGCCCAGGGTGTGATGGGGCAAATGCACTAGCCATACAAGGAGGCAAGCACTGCTAAATCTGCCACAAGGGGGAGACTTTGCCCCCACCTCCATGGTACAGATGTCAGACAAACTCTGTATCTAGAGGGCAAGACTGCCATCCCTATGGCAATGACCCACCAGGATTTGCCCTGGAGGGCAACATCTCCACTGCCTCCTAGCAATCATGCCATTGACACCACAGCTAAGATGGGGAGCTGGCCCCAGGGATGGGGAGCTGGGCTGGGACACTACCCACCCCTGACCATAGATCTGTGTCCTTGTCTGCACAACACAACAGTGCCAGGCCAGGACACCCAAGCAAGAAGCAACCTGGCCACATTAGCATGGCACCCTGCCTGGGATAACTATACCTAGCTTTTCTGCATGGCTGTTAGTCTGGGCTAGCTGCCATGTTAATGGACTATCTTGATTTCAGTGAATGACCTAGCTCGAGCATCTTTGCCCAGCACTTCACTGGGCCATAAAGATCCATGCCAAATAGTCCAAGATCTGGTGCCTCCATGGAGCAATATGCACTCTCCATTTCTGTTCAGGAACGCTTTTCTGCAAGGGTGTTGGGGGTTTTCTAACTGTCCTAGTCCTGCAGTCTCACCTGCTTGGTGGCCACATCAGAGAGGTTCCTCAAGGTCCAGAGACAGTTCTGCACGAGCCTCGGGCTGGAGCTAGTCAGATGTTTCCCCAGAGCCTGCATACCACCTGCCAGAGAGGAACAAAAAACATATGGCCCATCCTTAAATATCCCAAACAGCCCTGGCTTCCCCCCACACAGCCCCAGATGCACAGTACTAGTGGTGTCTTCACGATGTGTCATACAGGTTGGATGCTTTCATACATTGCTGTGCCATATTAAAGAGTGACGCCAGAGCAGATAATGGGCAAAAAATATGATGAAGAGGGACAACCTTCATAGCAGGCCAACAGGGACCTGAGCACACACATTCTGCCCCTTCACCCTGTGCCAGAAA